TAAATAACATCAGCATAACATTTTTTTATTAATCACGCCTAACTTATTAAAAATGCCTACGATTAGGAAACATGGTGATATCAGTTAGGATAGAGTTCAACTTATCCTAAAATAAAATAAATCATAAAATAAAAGCAATATTAATTTTTATAAAATAGTTACTTGTTTTGACTTTTTTTATAGTAATAAAACATTCCTCATACTGCTTACACTTAACAAAACTTCTCAAATGTTATTAAAGTAATATTATTAAAATAATGAAAGTAATATTTATATTAAAAGAATTAAAGTAATATTTACATTAAAAGAATTAATTAAATAATAACGCCTTCGAAAAGGAAACGCAACTACAACACGCTCCTGTATTGCGGGTATTGCATTGACTTTCTGCAGGCGTTTTTAATTTTTTTTTTTTTTTTTTTTTTTTTTATTCTCGTCTCGATAAAAATCTCGGCCAAAAAGTAATCTCGTCTCGTGTAACGAGATAGAAAATTTCCCGAAAATTTCCCGAAATTTCGAGACTTGACCATCCCTATAAAATTGTAGCTATAGCTACATTTCATTGTAGCTGTAGTTGTAGCTAGCTACTTTTTCGGAACTGTAGCTGTAGCTGTAGCTAAGCTACTTTTTTGGAAATGTAGCAGTAGTTGTAGCTACATTTTAAAAGTAGCTTCCCCAACACTGGAACATTTTTATCTTTAAAGTTTTTAAACCGATAATTTTGAAACTTGAGATGAATGTTAAGGTAATAGAGACCCAAATTATAAAAAAAGTTCACTTGATTCATCTCAAAATTTCAAAATGGCGGCCACTTTAATTTTTTTACTTAAATTTTTAGAAAATGGCTGCTTTTATTAAAAAATGACAAGAACACTTTTATTTGGCATTTTAATTCCCTATCAAACCATACCAAGTTCAAAAAGATCAAATAATAAATAGCTGAAATATTAAGATTTTTAGTTTTAAAATGGGGCAAACCTGACCAGCTTAGCCTTTTTCTACCCCATTTTACAACTAAAAGTCGTAATATTTCAGCTATTTATTATTCAATCTTTTTTTAACTTGGTATCGTTTGATAGGGAATTAAAAATGCCAAATAAAAGTTTTCTTGTTATTTCTTCATAAAATCAGCCATTCTTTTGTAATTTTTGTAAAATGGCAAATATCTGGTTAACGAAGCGATTTGGAAAAAATGTTATTATCGATTTTCTCCTTATTTTGACCCATAGAACCATTTCCCGGAGTTTGGCTGTGTACTTACGGGACACCCTGTATAAGAAAACACCTCTTTTTTCCCCAAGTCATAGACAATAGTTTCCTAGTTAACCGTTTATCATTATTTTATCTAATACCCCTTGGTCTTCTTGTTTGTACAAAATCAGTCATAGGGTTTTTTTTCACTTTTGTACTTTTTAGAACAAGGAGTATCCCTTTAGTTAATATGTTTTCATATAATTCAAGGGTCCATATAAAGTATAAGGTTTTATATTTTCATTAGTAGTGCTCACTAAAATCTTAAGATGGCATTATAACTGATACTAATAGTCATATAATATTGAGTCTTGTCAGTTAAGTACATTTATGTGCCTTAAACGAAGATTCTGTTTTTGAAACTTCTTGTATTAAAATTGTTACTTTAAATATTATGTTTCTATTTATACAGAACTACGGACCTAATTAGAAAGTTGGAAGGCTTATTAAAACATCTTATTAAAGATACATGTACTAAAAATGTATATACAGGTTGTCCCTGTATAGCAGCTGACTTTAATGTTCATGTTCTGGAATCTTGCAGCCATCCACAGCAAAAGTTAAGGGTTAATTTTTATTTTGGAACAATATGGTTGGAGCAATAATTTGCTCCTCTCCAAAAAGAATTATTCATTTCACAAAATCTTGCATTGATAAAATTTTATCACAGAAAATTAATCATCGTCAGTCTTGGTACAACAATGAATGCATTTGGTATCTCTGATAGAGCATTATTTTTAAATAAAAATTTGTATTTTTATGCCTTATATATTTTTTTTATATTTTATATTTTTATGCCTTGTACAGAGTTTAGTTTTCCTTGTTTAACCCATTAAACATTTAAGGTGAATTATTCATGCTTTTACCTACCTCTATATATTTGTTCGTTAGCCTGATAAATCAATTGAAACTCATCCAATATTGATGAAATTGTGTACAAACGTGTAAACCTACGTTTCTTCAAACCGGATTAAACTAGTGTGATTGGACATAGAAAACAGAGCTTGATCCGGTTTTATGGAGTAAAAATTTCGGTTTTCCCATGTTCGACCCTCAAAACATAAAAATTTTGCATTTTACTCGTAAACAATTTTGTATAATTAAAAAGAAAAATATTAAGTAGGTATATTGAAGAATTGTACGCCTAATGATTACTTTAAAAAATTAAAAAAACTAAATTCTAAATTTCCAAAGTAATTTTTATGGAGAATGAATACTGTTGTACATGTTTATGGATATATTTTCATCAACATTTTTTATTTAGTAGGACTAAGCTATTAAAATTTCACTGAAGAACTGTATTACTTTCCCTGCAGCGGCAAACCTAAGTTCCAGTTAAACCTAATGTTAACAGTGGATAACATTTAAATTCTTCATTTAATTAAATTAATTAATTAAATTTAAACATAGTAAATTCTTCTCTCATTTCAGGCATTTTTCCTAATAAACTCAAAATAGCCAAAATTATTCCAGTTTTCAAAAAAGGGGAACCAAACGATGTTTCCTGTTACCGACCAATTTCACTTCTTCCAGTTTTTTCAAAAATCTTAGAAAAAGTTGTTTTTATACAATTGATGGATTTTTTAAATGAACATAACTTAATGGATTCAGAACAACATGGATTTCAAGCAGGCAAATCGACAGTCACTGCAGTTATTGAATTTATTGAAAGTATAATAAATGCAGTGGATAAGAGAGAAAAAGTAATTGGCATTTTTCTTGATTTAACAAGGGCATTTGATAGTGTATCGCATGAAAATCTTATCGACACTTTATCAAAATTAGGTATTCATGACAAAGAATTAAATTGGTTTAGATCCTACCTATTTCTTAGGCAACAATATGTTGAGATAGAACATTATAAATCAGATTTCTCAAGTAAATATAATTACATCCAAAAGTTTAATTCACAGATGCAGGGGGTCCGCCATGGAGTTCCGCAGGGGTCAGTGTTGGGGCCCCTCTTGTTCCTAATATACTTGAGGGGTCTGCCGGACTTGATGCCTGTGGGCGGGGCGGCCTGTTTGTATGCTGACGATACTAATATTACCATTTGTGGAAATTCAAAAGAAAGTATTGAGGCATCATCATTGGTCAGTCTCTCCATCATAAAAAAATTCTTAGATAGCAAAAACCTTCTTTTAAACCCTGAAAAATCTAATTTTGTATCATTTTCTACAAAACAAAACAAAAACAAATTAAATCCAGACATAATCTTAGAAGATTATAAATTACAACAGGTAGAACATACAAAATTTCTAGGTTTAATAATTGATAAAAATCTAGCCTGAGACAAACATGTTGATCATGTTATCAAAAAAATGTCTTCAGGAGTATCTCCTTTAAGACAAATGTATAAAGTTTGCAGCTTAAAAACATTAATATCAATATATTATGCCTTAGTTCATTCTAATTTAGCTTATGGAATCAGTATATATGGAGCAACAGGGTGGGGCAGAGTGGACTCCCTGATTTGTTTGGTTAACTGTATAAAAACCATACAAGATTATTACAAAAGCTTTTTATTTCTGAAATCTAAATACAATGCCATTTATTTTTCATTAAATTTTAAAAATGATATCGTCCAGGTGAAGACCTTGACAAGCGATGCACATATTCAGCCGTTCAATGAAATTTTCAAAAACTCTACGCAGCATATCTGGCATTATTCCAGTGATAACATCAACAATTGCTACCAAGGTCCTTGGTCGAACTTTGTAAACCTCAGTTGCAGATTCGGTCGCCCGTACACTTGTAATCCATTTCCTTAAGGTTTTAGCATCGGGAACACTATCATGACAATTCAAACCAAACCGTCTACGAAATGCACGCTGGGTCGCCACCACACTATCCTTATTTTTAAAGAACGTTTCGACTACAAAACCATGATGCTCGCCAGTTTACGGCATGGTGACTACTAACAATGGCGTCTTTTCCCCCGCCACATGAAACCTCTCCCACTCAGCTAACTCGCACGCATGCTCTTCAGCGACTGATTGAAACTAGGGAGTCCACTCTGCCCCACCCTGTACATCAAAAAACTTAAAACGGATTTTATCGTACCAGAAAAGGGCAATTAGGGCAATGTTTAATTTGAAAAGGAAAGATTCGGTAAAACATATTTTTACCGATCTTGGAATACTAACTGTTCATGGACTATATATCTTGGAAACTATTATTTATGCAAAAAATATTACAAAAACTCAGGTATCAAACAAAATTAGTCATAATTATAACACTAGTTCTCAATCTCAAATTGATAGACACAATCTAGAATTTTATAAAAAGAAAACAAAATTCACAGGAAATAAATTTATGTCCCATCTTCCAAAAATACTTCTAACTGAAAATGATACAAAAAAGTTTAAAAATTGTCTGAAACAGTATTTGATTAAAATTGCCCCTTATTCTCTTGAAGAGTTTTGGGAGAACAAATAAAATAAATATTCTGTCTTATTATTAGTTCTTAAATGTAAAACATTTTATTTTGTAAGATCTGACTCTATTCCTGTACAATTGTACTTAAATGAATAAAGGATATTTTGATTTGATTTGATTTCAACATTATGTCAAACAGGGGATAAATGTTCCATTTTCAGGAAATAATTGAGTGAAAATCCAATCAGGCAAATAAATCCACTTAGTCTGCAGGTTTGCTGCAGCAGGTGTATTTCAAAAATACACTTAAGTTACGCCCTGATTTAATAATAATGATATAGTGATATAGCCTATCCTCTTGATTTTTGAAGGTCGTTACGAGGGACAGTTTATCGAGCGCCGCAAAAACCAGCTGCAAGCATTTGTGGACTGTGTATGTCGGCATCCAATCCTCTCAAGGTGTGCTGTCTGGGAACACTTCATCACTTGTACGGATGAGAAGAAGTGGAAACCTGGAAAGAGGAAAGCTGAGAAAGATGAGCTGGTTGGCGCCAACTACTTCTTAGCACTTCAGGCTCCTGAAAAACCTATCAACATGTACCAGCTGTAAGTTCTAGTGATTGACTGCATTATAGTCAAAATCAAAGTAACTACTTGATCCAGAAAATGTCAAGTATAAAACCGAATCCTTGGAAAAGATTTACGGTCCAAGTTGGTGTAATTTACAATTCCCAACATTATTAGATAGGGGATTTATCTTAAATTTGTTTTCAAACCGCAAGTGCAGGCACAAGGAGATTACTTCCAGCATCAAATGCCATACCAAAGATATGCCAAAAACCTCAGTAAAGTGTTAACAAATTATATTCAATGTTAACACCAATTATATGAGTGATTTAACCAAAAGTAGCATGTTTTTAGTTGGTTATAAAAATATTTTACATGTTTCACAATATATGAAACAGTACTATCTTTAGTGAAATTACAACTCTTACCTGTAGAGTTCATCTGCTTAACCAAAGCTTAACTCAAGACTTACAATAATTTTCAGAAAGGTAGAAATTAGTGATGGGCGGATCCAAGTAAATGTCGGCACCGAATCCGGATCTTGAAAAATTCTGATCCGGATCCAGATGTGTACTGTCATAAGGGTGGGTTTAAGTAAAAAATTTAATATTTACAGAAAATTTTTGAAAATCATAAAATGAAACTTTGTGCTAAGTTTGCACGACCACCAAAAGGGTAACTCTGTAACTCTGTATATTTATTTAGACAAAGATTAAATGGGGGGGGGGGGGTTCTTAACTTTTTATTTACCCTGTATGGACATAGATAGTCTTGTATGTATATGGATATGGATTTAATGAGGAAAATTTTAACAAATTCAAAAAACAACATAAAAGATTTCTGATTGACCATGAATTTTATAATTTAGAAGAACTTTTAAAAACATAACTTAAAACTTAAAAGATAGTTTGTTTTAAATTTTTTTTGTTGAAGTTTGTATACATTGTCAACCTATCTTGTAAACCACTGTTTATGGAATCAATGTATATTGTGTTTATGACAACTAAACTACCGTATATCTCCAAAAAGACTGTCGCTCAGAGGGGTTTTAAAGAAGGTTTGATGCTTTTACATTTTAGCTCTCAGGGTTAATCTATATACATATTTCGAATTTTGTTAGACTGTCGTCATTTACCCCCAGACGAGTATGTTGAAAATTTATGTAATCCTATATTAATAGGCAAGCATGTTTCTTTAAAACCTTTTTTCTCAGCTCGTGTGCATCGCAGGGAAAGACTACGCATACTGTTAGAAAGATATTTTCCTGTAGATGTGCCTTCATAAATTAAAATAGGCTCAAAAATAAGCAAAAATTACAAAAATTAAATTAAAAAATTAAATTAAATTATTTTTAAATTACAAAATTAATTTAAAATTTCAAAAAAATTAACATGTCTTGTTGCAATGCTGGTGATGGTGACAAAATAACAACAAAATACGAGGGCTATCCAGAAAGTAAAGAACGTTTCGTTATGACGCCGCTAGGCGCGCGCCGATCTCGTACATTTTGGTGCGTGCGTACTCGGCAACTCAGCCGGCATCCAGGGATAGCGCTGGGTTCACAACGATATGGTAGGCATACGGTTAAGTATCGATCGACGTAGTCTGAAAAGAACTACTATCGAATATCGTAAATCGATTGGCTTCCATAGCGCCACCCAACCAAAATTCCATAGCGAGCGCCAAATAGTTTATTTAATTATGTTATTTAATTTATTCCAACTTTGTTCCTTTTGATCAGTTTCATGGTGCATGGTGCATTATTATGGAGGAAGTATGCAAAGGACATCTAAACGCTTTTAAAAGTAAGGGGGCGGTAATTTATCTGGCGTTAATGCGTAAGTTACTGGAATATTAAATTTATCGTCTAAATAATGGAATACATAAAATTGTGTAAATAATTGAAAGTACGTTCAATATTAAGTGAAATTGCAGTAAATATTCTTGTATATGTTAGTTTTATTATCAGACTCAAAAATAACAATCACGCATTCATGTACAATTTGTATGTTTTGAATAAAGATTTATATGATTTGTTTTTATAGTCTTGTGGACACAGATTAGTCTTGTATATGGATTTATTTTAATTATTTAACCATTAATTTTACTGGTTAGCATCACTATGACAAAAACCGGTTCTTATGTATGAATTAATTGTACTTTAATAAGATTGTATGTTCATAAAAAATAACCAGCCCAAGATCCAGATTTTTTTTAATTCGATCGGGCGTCGGTTCCAGCGAACATAGAATAAAAATAGAAGGGACATGCCCTATTATACAACCATTACTAGGATTGTCGCCAGTTCCGCCATCTTTGTGGCGGCATGAAGTTGAAATTAGCGCTCAGAAACGGAGAATTTTGTGGTGTGTGCTTTTCATTAACACTGCTTTTTGACATACTTAGATAAGATAAAAATTTGAAACTCAACACAATTAAACTATATTAATTGTGGATGCTAATGGTGTAGTTAAAAGTATTAATTTTAACTTCAATGTAATCTTTAATACCTAATTGAAGTTGACTGTTTGCAGTAATTTTTAAATCGTGTCATGAAAAAATTACTCAGGCCTGGAAAGTTTTGTATGTGGAAAAGTTTGAGAGCATGAGTTAAACCTCAACATATATTTTTTGGGGAATTTTACGATCTTTGGTAATCAAAATAAATTAAGTTGAAGAGGGAGTAAAATCCGTCCTGCGGTGCGGCGAGGACCAGGTGATGAGCGCTGCCACTGCAACCAGGTCCTTGCATAAATAAATACAAACTAAATATACATAAATAAAATAAAAAGTATAATAATAAACATAAACTAAATAAACATAAATTTCCATGTGATACAGGCACGTGAATCGTAAATTGAGTATTGCAACTTCATGCATAAACATGAGATCATGAAAATACAAAGTTTTTGTCGTTACCGACTTGTATTTATTTTTAAATAATGGTTTATTACTGTATTGCGTAGCATATTTTAGAAGCTTGAAAAATATATTACCTTTATACACAAACTTTCAGCCTTACTATTATACCGATTAACACCTCTCTTCTTTTAGTTTCCTTTATTTTAGATATTAATAAACAATACGTCAGAGTAATAAATAGATACGGTCGTAACTGTATCTATTTAACAACCAATATTTTATTAACACAATATTGTAAGATTTTTGCAAAATTACAGAGCGAGTGTAGATATTTTAAAAACTAAATAAAGAAAATACATAACAGCTTATATAAGCTGACGGTCTCATTGACCTAAAAATCTTATGTTTTTGCGAAGGTGATTTCTAATTTTTGTTACATGCAAAGAATCATGGTAAAGCTTTGAATGGCGGTGCAATCTTACAGTGAAGTATCTTTTACAAACAGATTTTATTAAAATAAGTATATGGCTATGCTCAGATTCCATTTTAAAACAGTGCTCTCCTGTTTTGAGGCAAGACGTAGAACATATAACAAGCAGGGTGTGTGCGACTATGCCAACGAATATGGTGTGCGAGTGTGCGATGCAATACTGGCTGACTGATTGGAATGGGCGAGGTGAGCGCGCACCACTACAGTGACTCATCCGCAGCAGACGCCACCGGCTAAATAAAAAATAAATGTAAATATGTAAATAAATAAATGTAGTGTCGGCTATAAAAGTGGCGATAGCTTTCGTCTCGAGTGGCCCTTCTATTTTTATTCTGTGTTCGCTGGTCGGTTCTAGCACAGATCCGGCGGATCCGGTAGTCCGATATCCGGATCAGACCATCATTTGTAGAAATACATAATCATGTTCTTGGAATGAATAAGGTAAGCTACTTTCCAGCATTGCTCTACTGATCTAGCAAAATAATTTACAAAAATCACTTTGCCGGAAGTAACTTCTAAGATGCAAATCATGTAGGATTAAACTGTGGGTCTTTAGTCTCTGAGGCTTGTGTTCAATTCTTACTAAAATGGTTTTCCTATAAAATGTCATAACCAAACGATTCAGAATCCACCTTTAGATGTATTTGTGCCTAAAAGGAAAGAGGTTGGGTCTTTTTGCAAATAAATAGCTTGTGTTTGAGAGATAATAGCGATAATAGGTCCAATCTATGTTTAATTAATTCAATCTTAGAAAGTCCAAATCTTGGAAATGAAACTAGTCGAATCCCTAGATCCATTAAAGATTAGTATTTCTGTTAGTGTATCTAGAATTTGTCCAAGGCTTTAGACAATGTTAGGGCCAGCGCGCACAATCCCGACCACGACCACAACTCCGACTGGTCGGATACCACCAGTTTTATAATAGGAATAAATGGAACAGTGCGCACTGGTCGACTGGTTGGACCCTGGTGGCACGACCAAAGTTTTCCAGTTTGGTTGGGCCCGACCCGCTGGTCGTTGCAGCCAAAAATAGCACACAATGTAATGGGACGACGCGCACTACTCCCGACTTGCCTCCGACCCGACCAGTACACCACTCATATACACTGTTTTTCTTCACTTCCTATACACTGTCTCTATGAAGTGTCTATGTAAGTCATCAAAGCTTTTATCAGACATTCTTGTGTAATTAAAAAACCTGTCTTCATATTGATATAGCTCTTCATGAAATGTTGCAAACTGCCTTTTTGTAGACCTGACAATTAACATTTTATGTACCCAGTATCGTTTCTTCTTCTGCTTAAACGTACCTACGATACAAATGCACCCCAGCAGCTACTTCTTCAACGTCCATATTCACTGAAGTTTGTAAAACATTCGTTGCCTTGGTCGGGTCCTGCTCTGGTCACTTGGTGAACGACAACGACTGGTCGGGCATTTGGTCGTGGTCGTGGCCGTAGTCGGGATAGTGCGCTCCGGTTCTTAGATATGATGTTTTGTTGAAAAAGCTGGAATGTTATGGTATGAGTAGGGAGGTTGTCCTGTGGTTTGGCAACTATCTCCAAAATAGGTTTCAAAAAGTAATGATTTATACCTTGAATGGAAACTCGTTTTTTTTTTTCTGATTTGAATAAAGTACACTTGGGAGTTCCTCAAGGCTCAAAGTTAGGGCCATTCTTGTTCATAGTTTATGTCAACGATTTGTTTTCAAATGTAAATTCAGATTTAATTTTATTTGCAGATGACACAACAGCAATAGTCAAAGGTAAAGACAAAAATGAATTGGCACTTAATATCTCTTCCTCTGTTCAAAACATCAGTTTCTGGTTGAGCAAGAACGGTCTAAGCTTAAATCATGCCATGACTAAAATATTAGAATTTTCGGCCTCCTCAAACAGGTCCAAAGAATTAATTTTTGCAGTTCCCAACACCAACATTGACCTTCCTGTCTGTAAATCAGTAGATTTTCTGGGACTTACAGTTCAAGATCATTTAAAATGGAATAACCACTGTGACCATTTATATGCTAAACTAGATAAAGCTATATTTAATCTCCGAATTATAAGAAGAATTTGCGATGACAGTGATGTTAGTATACCATGGTTATTTCTTATCAATTATGTCTTACAGTTTGTTGTGCTGGGCAAATTCACCTTCTAGCAAATATATCTTTAAACAACAAAAAAAGGCCATCAGAGTCATTGCTGGCATCAGCTCAAGAAAATCATGTAGATCCAGTTTTAAAAAAATCAAACTTTTGACCCTTCCTGCTCTTTATATTTTACACTTGGCACTTTACATTAAAAAAAACCTTTATTTATTTGAAAACTGTAAAAAAAAGCTCATAATTATGAATCTAGACACAAACAACTTTTGAAAATTCCAAGCCACAGATAAGCTTTGTTTCACAATAGGCCTTATTATCAATGTATACAAGTCTACAACAAATTGTCCTTTTATTTCACAGACCAGTCTTTGAACTTAAATAATTTTAAAAAGAAACTTTCAGAAAAACTGATTGCACTTTGTCTTTATGATATGAATTCATTTTTAATGAATGATTTTTTTTGAATGATTTGATTTGTATGTCCTCAGTTAATTGAGTTGGCAATTGGAATACAAGTATATTGTGGAATTTCTAACCAAACTTTGCATGTTTGACTGAGAAATAAGAAAAATACAATAGTCTATATTGCTGAGATAACCTAACAGCTATTGGTCCATATTTTGCAAAACTTGCAAATTTAACTTTCCAAACGTCAAAAAATAAAAACTAAGAAACATGATGATAAGTGATAAAATTAATGACGTAATTGTAATCAATATCCTGTTTTCTACGTCCGACTATATCATGTGTAAGAATTGTTTATCAATTATGAGTAATCAGCAATACAAGTTAACTCGTAGTATGATAAGTCTTTGCTTTTTCAGTGATCAGGAAACTGAGAACTGCTCAAAGTTCATCCACAGTTTAGACCTGTCAGTGAAGAACCTAATGGCTTGCTCAGTAGACCAGACTAAGAAACACCAAGGTCCCTACCAGAGAGAGTTTCACAAAATAGGAGAATCCTTCTGTAACTTGGCGACTTCGCTTCATATGGAAGAAGGAAATGGTCAGTATATCTTGCTACGTTATCTACCATCTAACTAACCACTTTGGTTTGGAAATTTGATGCTTTAGTTCGAGAGCTTACTCCCTGACTCAGCCGTTTACTTTTTCATTGGTCAGTTTTAAGTTCAATTTCATTTAAGTTTTAACCCTTATAACCTAAAATAAAATTTAAATATTGGAACAAAATATAAATCAATCAAACAATCTTTATTCACGTGTACTTTGAGTAAATTATTGTGTCAAGACTTAACCTAGTTATTATGTCCTTAGAGTTACAATTTGTAGTGTAACTCGCTGGAATACACAGTGTCTAAGGAAAGCATTGGTGGCAGTTCATTGTTCATTCCTCAATTACCAGGCAGCAGATTCAATATTATTTCTTTACACTTAACTACTATTTCTTGTGGAATTTCATAATATTCTCTATCATAAATTAACACAATACTCTACACAATGGCAGTTGTTAACACGTTGAGTGCTGGCTACATCTGTTGATGTAGCCGCGTCACAGGCGCTCCTATCGGCTTACATCTATAAATGTAGTCGCACCACTCCCACTACCAATTCAGCTACTATTCATTCAGGTTCAGTATGAGCTCAGTCATTTCTAAGGAACGTTATACTCGTTGCCAGCCTGTAGCTTAGAATGTGAGCTTTATTTTGGTGTAGGTTGTTACTAAAATTTCCCGTAAAATCCCGTCTGCTAATGCTTTTGTCCCGGTTTTGGGGATTTTCTCCCTTCAAGCCAAATTACAAAGACACTGGCTACTGATTCATGCAGTGCTGCTACCTTTGGGTGTTTCAGTGAACTATGTCCACTCTCGGGGTAAAGCAGCACAATCACTGCTATTCTATTGTTATTCGTCAGATTTAAATATTTGAATGCCAATTGCGTTTGCTGTTTCGGTGGCACGCCGGGGCTTTGCCCTGGCCTCGCTGCCATTGGCGAGCGCCTGGTTGAATGTATGCTGCAGTCAACGTGTTAATGAAAATTATTTAAAGCAATGAAATAATAAATATTTACGTTTGCGGTGGGCCGGTCTATTACACATGTGGGAGGTAGCTTTGTTACCAGCTTATGGCATTGTTGCGGTTCCAGAGTTGATTTTGTTTGGGCTGGTAGCTTTATTTAAAGCACTTCAGCAAAATTTATCAAACCCTTTTCTTTAACTATGCCTTTCTAGTCTAAAAAGAGTACAGAAACCATCCGCTTAATACTGTGTGGGAAAATCGTTTTTAGAAAGAAGATGATTTTAGGTATTGTTTTCAGCTCGTGTCCCTCATGATGCCAAGGGATTGCCCGATGCCATCAGATACGTAGGTGAAACGTACCATAGCATTGCACAGTTGTTTGAAGAGCAACCCAAACACGACTGGGAACCTCTAGGAGATACACTACATATCTACAAGGGAATCTTGGCCTCCTTCCCAGACATCCTGTCTGTTCACAAGGTCTAACAAAGATTTATTTAGATTAAGATTCTCTTTATACAAGCACTAATGCTTCAGTAAATTTGTTATGCGATACTGTCAGTTCATAGGTACATGCATAGTGCAGGTTATACAAGCGGTATTGTTGTCAGCGAGTCTGCATTAGCCCGGCGACGAGCAGTGCTAGCACAATCTGCTGCGCTAGCACTGCGGCGGACAAAACACAGAACCAGGTTATACACAACTGACGCACAATCGTAGTAGGCCTATGTGTTTTAGTGTATTAAACATAAAATTATAATTTTTTCTTTGATGGCCAAGCAACCAGTACTGGACTATTTGGCATGGATTGACCATTGTGCTTAGGTTCTGTTAGAGTGTAATAAAAATACACATTTTATTGGAAACTGAAAGGTAAGTATTTGGAATGAGAAAGTATTAATTGCTATTATACATTCTAAAACTGTATAGCTAGAACTGTTTCCAAAATCTGCAACAATACCTAAACAACTCAACTGGATGGTGTCCATCATGGAAATAAGTGAATGACGCAAGAACCAGTGTTCGATTTGCGGCGGAACAGAGTTCTAGTACCTCTCTTTCGGAAAGATAAAAATATTGCCATAATTAGGTACTAAACACATTAAATAGTTCACAGCTCCAGCATCTCATTTTTTACAAATCGAGTGCTGGGAAGGACTATCAGCGCTGTTTATAACAGGGGTACACGCCAGTGATGCATATTCTCCCTTGAATTTGTTAAATTCACATTTAACCTGATACTGAAACTTGTGTGTCCTCGTTCCCATGACATGTGCGTGACGTCATTGTCGCTCGTATAACATGGGCCTAACCTCTCCATAAACATTTCATCATGTTAGCTAGAATCGGTAACTAGTTAGGGGGTGATTGGATATTTTAAGTAATTGTAAGAATATGCCAATATTTTTTTTATTGTGAGAGTATAAAATTGTTCAACATTTTCCAACTGAATTTATTTTTCAAACATTTGAGATGAAATTAGAATCTGATTCATACATTTAAAAAAACTAATTATATTAGAATGTGATTCATATATAAAAGAAAAACTAATTATATATCAAAATTATGCTATAACTAACACTTGGTAAGTTGTTGGTTCAGTTTCTACTCGTCCAATGCATTCTATACTGTACAGGCTAACCTTTTTTTGTTTATTACACAGGCCATGTGAATTGAAAAATGTAAGAGGCATTGGAATTCAGCATTTAAAACTTTTGGGAAACTGTATCAAGTTAATGTTTGAGTATTTAATCAACTTAAAATAATTCTTTATGAGCAGTAATAGAAAGTTTAGTTTGGTAATAAACAAAAAGGCTTACTTTTAAAATAAATTATTTAGTCCATAAAAAAAATGCATTTAGTTTGTTCATCAACTATCCAATTTCCACCAGCTGATAGCTATAATAATACAGTTATAATAATACAGTTATTCAAAACTGTATAATTTATAACCGATGTACTTACTTGAGTAAATAACCTAAAAGCATTTCACAGCGATGTACTTTGCACAACTCATCCCTCTGTTTTTTGTACAGAACGCTATTCAGAAACGCAAAGATTGTGAACGTCAGACTTTGGAGCATAAGATGGAGCAGTCACAATATCAACAAGTGGTTCAACGAACTGACGTAGTCTCTTACGCACTTCTGGCAGAGATCAATCATTTCCACAGTGAGAGGTCACTTCAAATCAAGAGAGCCACCAAGAATTTTCTCTTTGAACAAGCCGCATTTTACCAAAAGGTATTTGTTTACCTCCGCAGTTGACTTTAAAAAAATCCTAGTTCTATATAACTCCAGTTATCATACTTGCTTACATAAAGAATTTATAACAACTAAAACGACAGTGATATGAAACGTTATTAAAGAAGGTAGAAGCCGGGATTGTGGCAAAATCCTGAACATCTCCCTTGTCTGCTTATCCTGCCCTTTGTCTCCTTAATTCTCAAGAAGAAAAAAACCCTTTGCAATCTAACCTATTTCATTTAGTTTAAGTAGAGTATAATGCTTGTTAGTAATGCATTTTTTTACATCTACAATGATTTATCTACTTTTTATTTATTATAAACTGCATTATTTTAAAATTAATACAAATAGGAGTTGGGTTTTGAAAACTAATGGTTTAAAAAAAGAAACTTTTCTTATACAGATAATTATTTGTAAATTTTACTCCCAGGGCAATTTGTCAGTTAATTCACTCTGAGATAATCAAGGTTTTAGTACTAATATAGGCTTAGATTACATGTTTGCTGTCAAAACAATCCTTGATGATAGTGCGACTACTACAGCTGTTTCAATACAAATAGGAGTTGGGTTTTGAAAACTAATGGTTTAAAAAAAGAAACTTTTCTTATACAGATAATTATTTGTAAATTTTACACCCAGGGCAATTTGTCAGTTAGTTCACTCTGAGATAATCAAGGTTTTAGTACTAATATAGGCTTAGATTACATGTTTGCTGTCAAAACAATCCTTGATGATAGTGCGACTACTACAGCTGTTTCGTGCTTTTAAAGTAGAACATCTTCAAGTTGAGAATGTCTTGCTAATAATCCCTTATGTGGAGTTCGTCAAAAAATACAAACAAAACGGGAAATACATAACGAATACATCATACATGACAATACATTTAAATAACTGGTCAGCCAGACTGCCATTCATATCACCAACAAGCAGGCAAGAAAAAGACGAGATAAGGATAGCACAAGGGTAGGGGTCAACGCTGCCGAAACGTGACAGTCGCGATTTACCTTCCACAGGCTCTTGTAATCAATTCAGTGTCTGGTCCACCAGTTATTTAAATGTATTGTCGTGTGTGTTGTATTCGTTATGTATTTCCCGTTTCATTTATATTTTTTTACAAACTACACATCAGGGATTATTAGCAAGACATTCTCGACCTGAAGATGTGCTACTATAAAAGCACAAAACAGCTGTAGTCGTCGTTCTACCATCAAGGATAGTTTTGACAGCATACAAATAATGTAAGCCTATATTAGTTGATTCGGACGATCCAGAGACCGCTCCATCATGAAGGTTTTAGTGTTTTGTATAACATTTGGCAATTTATTATTTCATAGTATTCCATCCAATAAAATATATTTTTCTCTATACAGTAGAACCTCTTTAATCCAAACTAATTGGGACCAGGGGTAGTTCGGACTATTGAATAATTCGGATTACAGAACATATTGTTTTTTTTACATAACAATAGCTTAAACATGGCTAAAATTGATCAACATTATTTTGGAAGTAAAAAAAATGTTTTATAAAGTAAAATACAGTGTTCATTTAATACAGTAGTAAACATGGTGAATAAACAGTACTGTAAATTAAATAGAGTATAGAATAAACAGGGTGTCTACCAACCGGGAAATCGGGGAAAACCGGGAATTGTACTTAATTTTTTATTGGCCATGAAATGTACGGAATTATCCTTAAATGCCAGTTAGGAGCACATAAAAGGTTTATCAGATGTTTGTTTACATTTTCATAATTTATTACTAGAGTTATTATGCAATAAAAATCCCATTAGCAATTTCAAACCCATTAATATTTTATCACGACAATCAAGTGTCAAGTCAAGTACTTCCAAGAACTGTTGACTCAGTTATAGCTCATAAAAGTTGTATCACTTTTATTCCTTTACAACTTCTTTTTTTATTACTAGGGTAATTATTATGAGATCCCAAACCTGTTTTATCGTGAAAATAATAGCTTTATAATGGCTGTTAAATTTCACTTCTTACTTGTACTTTGGCTTAAAGATTCAATTTGCCGCGGCCATTGCCTAGTGCCATAAAACTGTTTATGGTTTCATATTAAACATGTAAATAATCTACAGTTTTATTTTGTAAGTTAACCCCTTTTTTATGGATATTTGATCTTTTAATTGACAAAACCACAAGCAATGTTGTTTGCATTAATGTTTTATCACTATGTAGGCCTGCTTGGTTTCAAATTATGTCATTGCATTTTCTGTATCTTTGTCTTATATTGTTGGCTATTCAGGTTTCAATGTTTTTTGTTTCCCATATATTTATTTATTGAGTTGTATGCTTTAAGCAATCTAAATCTTATGAACTAGAATGATGATAGTGACTTTGCTGCTATTATAACCTCATTGTTTGGTACCCAGTTTATATAGGCCCTCCTAAATAATTAGGTCTAGGCCTGGGTATTTTGATTCTTGAAAGAGCTGTAAAATATATTAAGAAAATGTAATTGAGCCTAGATAAACAACTAATGATTGCTATGTGTCTATATTAACTTTGCAAATGAAAATACAATAATCTTACTCTGTGCTCATTGCTTATTGGTAGCCGCTTACCATACCTTGATTTTGTACTAAGAACTGAGTAACAATATGCATTAAAGATTTTTTTTTCAAAAGTAGTCAAGAGCCTAACGTTGTGCCAGGGCGAATCATGCCAAATTAATCCGCCTGGATCGGATAAGCTATGTTATGAAGTTTACGTGACCGATGGAGATATTTGTCGCTGTCGCAGGAGACAATGATTGCGTTTCTCTGTTACACTATAAAAGCTTTACCTAAAGTATAGGTAGGCCTATACTTGTTTACTTTCAATAAATTTCTATTTTGAAATTTTTAACTCTTATCTATTGTTATTATTTACTGTTCTCTCTGGTACAACTACAGTTAATAACAAGATTAATACAGTTTGACAAATCAGGAAAATTATTCGGTAGGCCTAATGACACCGACAAAGGTTACGGCAAAGTGTCCTTAAATGTACGGGAATTGTCCATGAATTTTTTATCCAGAATGTAGTAGACACCCTGAATAAAGAACTGCTGTACTGTGTGTAGAGTAGAGCAATGAGGGGTTCGGATTAGTGGACGTTCGGATTACGGGGGTTCGGATTAAAGAGGTTCTACTGTATTAACAATGTCCAGCCTAATTTGTTAATGTTTAATTCAAAATTTAACACTGGTAAATTTAATGTAGAACAATTGTGACAGATCTTCGTACAGGTGCAAACTGTCAGGAGGTTGTTTCAAGGTATGATCTAAGCACCGTTTCTCCATAGTAAATGACATGGTACCAGTTGAGTAAATAATCAATAGTTTTTCATACTTAACTTCATATAATCATATTTAAATTTCATCACAGATTTATTCCAGTTGCTAATAGAACGCGTTTTTGGAATAAAATAGGAATTAAACAAAATATGTCTCCCAACACAATCCGATATATTTACATTTATACTGTAAACACTTATAACGCGGTAAATATATATAAACAATGCTACTATGGCAATTTATTTTGACCTGTCACACTGGTTATCAGGACCATAATAGGAGACTAAGCCAGATACAACTAAAGTTATTTAAAAATAAAAATTAAATAAAAACTGTAAAAATAAATGATAAATGTAAATAGAAGAAGGTTTTCCCATATATTTTTGTACTATTTAAATGTTGTGATCCTGCCTTGTCAAATTATTATTATTATTTTTTTCAATTATTAATATTTTGTACCTAGCACGGATTGTGTTTTTAATACGAGGAGTTAGCAAAATTAGTAAATATATAAATGGTATTCAATGGATTACCACCAAAGAATTCAACTGAAATTATTTAACATTTGCCTGAGTATTTGAAAGTAACTGAAAATCCTAACTCATTAGAAAAAGGCTATTGGGATTTCTGGTAAGAAGATCGCTTTACTCTGTCGAAGGATTTCTTGTGTTGAATACTTTTTAAATAAGTTGTTGATACAAAAGTAGTCAATAAATTAAGGTCTCCATTGAGGTCCCATTGCAGCCAAGCAAGCTAGTTCAAATCTGACAACAATGCCATACTCTTTACTTCATCCACTACTATTCTAGGTCTCAATTCTATCGAATTATTAGTCTCACCAACAAAAATGTTAAGAATAGTCGGCAAGTATATTTATGTTTCATGTATTTATACAATCTTACATAAATTGTTTCAGATTGCTGCCAAACTACAAGAAGCTTGCACACTATTTGAAGAGGACTGAAGCCTTTAACATTGCCTTCTCTACTATTCCATTATGTTATGTGTAAATTGTAAACGGGCAATTTATTGGTAGATCCTATTAGAAAGAGGAATAGTGAATGCAAGGGTTGCAATATCTGGTGTTAACCTGATGGTATTGCATTTTTCAGGTGTGGCTGTACCCAGTACATTCAACCTTAAAACTCTTTAATATGATCTACCAATCATTCCACTCTCTTGTATTTTATATATAAATATGTTAATCTAAGAGTATTTATTTTAAAGTTACTGAATAAACCAAGTGATATTGCACTATTATACGAGGACTGTCCAGAAAATAACAAACATATTGAAGTTTAAAAGTAACAAAATCAGATCTTATCACCCACTAAAATGTAGACTCTTAACTATATGGTTGACATTAAAATTAGTGAATTTATCATGCTGATGCACAAGATTTTTACCCTCTGTGTAGAAATTCACTGCGATTTTGACCACGGTCTTATACCTTAATGCAATATATTTACTATAAAATTTGGCAGTGACCAAAAATCCGCTATAGAATGTCCTGTAATAAAAAAATATTAATTTTCACATGTTTAGTTGTTTAATTTGTTTACCAGTTAATTGAATACACAACTAGCATCACATTTTGTGGTACAACGTTGATTTAACAAATATTAGAACTAATACACTCTAGCTTCTACTGGCTTGAAGAATCTTTATTTCTTTCTCTACATTAGTTTTCACAACAAGTTTTTTTTTTTTTTTGCTGCAAAATCCTTATAACAAACTTTTTTATTTAAGATTTCGTTTAAGATTTTATTTAAGGTTTTTAGTTACAGCATTTAATTTAATAAAACTTTCTATACAAAGCTCAATAGATGCAGCACACATGTTACAGATAGATGTGGAGTGGTGAAACACTTTGACACCAAGATTACTGTTCTAATCACATTTAGTTCCATGCTAGAACGAAACGTGTTTTACTGACTGGACGGTCTTCATAGTTAATTTGTATATACTGTACAGAGTAAAGTAAGTGTTCAAGGCTTATGCCTAACAGTGCTAATTTCTCATTTGGTATTCTGTCTGGTTACACTAATGTATAGTCATATTTTCCTAGATTTTCAAGTTTTTAAAAACTGTTGTTATTGTTATTATTGTTATGTCTCAATTCTAGCCTTCTGTGTAGCTGGTTGAGTTTGTATTTTGAAGCAAGTGCTATTATTCTTTTTGTTTCTGATGTTTAAAAACTTTGATGTTTGCGAATGTTGAGCAATCGATTAACAATTTCTAACTGTTTCGGTGTACAAGATCATAATACAGTTTAGATGACTCCAGCTTTAGTTCAAGGTACAGAATAGACCTAGGACCAAAACAACTTTTAGAGCAGTTAACGCTAACTTTTGACATATTTTTATACACACATATATATAAATATATTTTTATGTGACTTATATTGTGAAGATGCTTTATAAAATATACTATTTTAAGTGTAAAAAAAATGTTTTTGCTTTAAAATCTGTTGCTTTAAATAAAATAATTTGCAAGTCCAAATTCTCCTTTGTTATTCTTTGCAGATAAACCAAAGTATTTTCACAAGCAATTTCTTATGTGGCATTTTGTTTCCAAAATATTTAGTGAGTAACAGTTTTTAGATTTGAATACTTGATATCAGTCTGGTATGGTGGTGGTAAAATACTGGTGTTTCCTAAGTCTAGGGATTGTCCTTTATTTATTATCAAAAGACAAACTTTCAGTCCAATACATCACTGTAGATCGTTATATCAACTGTATACTAAAACAAATTCAAAAACCACTGAAAAATAATAATAGTAACGGTAAAATTGGAAAGAAATTGTAAGTTAAAAACGTTAAAAGTAATATTAATTGTAAATAGCAATAAAAGTCAACTACTAACAAAATAAAAATGAACGGTAGGCCTATCAGCAAACTGACACATACTTTCTCCCATTAGCTTTTCAACAATTTATTATAATGGATGACGGGGAAGTAACTATATTATTTTATGTTTTAAATCACAAAAATTGATTTTTTATAAAGAAAATCACAAAATTTGTAATAAACTTTTGAACCATAATTTTTTACAGCACCACGGGATGTATATGTTGTTTAGAGTTAAAAGGAATAACACATTAAAATTGTTAGCAAAATTATTCTAGCCATTTTTGTGAAAATCTGATATTTCTGTCATTTTATGGTAAAATCACCATTGAAAAAATCAGAATTTCAAATTTTTTTTAGAAAACCTTTTGATACCTTGAGTAGTAAAAAGATACCAAATCTCATCAAAATTGGACGGCAGGTGTAGTCTGTGGCTCTACACACGCAAACACCACTTCGCACATTACTTTTGTGTGTTTAGTGGAATCCAAAATCGTATATTACCATTTTCCACCAAAAAAATGTTGGTGAAAAGAACACTTTCTTCATGTACCATGTTTTGGGGTAGAAAGTAAAAATGACACTGTCTATTTCATATACAGGGTTGGACAAAAGTATTGACACTCCCTATTCAGTTTTTGTAATGGGATTTACCAGGAAAACCAAACTTTGCACAACTCTATATGGCATAAAAGTACACTTATTTGTTTGAAACCCCAAAATGTGATATTTTGGGGGCAGCTAAAATTTGTAAATGAAAAGTCCTATCATTTTAAAGGTTTATTTTATTTAAAGGTCAATAGTTACAAAGAATAGAGGCAATAACTAGAGTTCTCAATCTCAACTGATAACAGAAAGTCATCCATTTTTTTCATCAGCCTATTAACGTTTTAATCGGTTGTACTCTAGGAGGATTAAACATTAAGGAGGGGACACGCTCGAGTTTCGTTGAAGCCAGCCTGACCGCGTGCCGCAAAGATATTTTATATTTTATATTGCTTAACATCAAGGTCTAAAAATATGGCTTAATATGATATAAATATAAACAATTGAAAATGTAATGACAAAGAAAAATGTTTTACTTTTTAAGTCCAAAATTTAAATGGAACGGCTGTGAGTGTAATAAAAGCGAACGCCGCTTTGAATTTTTTCTTGACTTTGGTTATTTCAAATTACCTGCCTAGACACAAAAATGCCTTAACACTAGCAAAAAATGGTATTAACAATTTTAGAAAATATTTAGGAATGCTAATTTAATATTTTTTCACCATCCAAAGTGCATTTTGGATTTAAAACTTAAATTTAATAAGTTTGTTTTAAAAACTAAAAAAAATTAAAATACCCCCGCCGCAGCAAACCTGCTGACTAAGCGAATTTCCATTCGTCTGAATTGATTTTCAGTTAAATATATTTTAATAACATTAGGTTTAACGAGTACCTAGGTTTGCTGCTACAAGGAAACTAACTTAAGTGTGTTTTTGAGTATAATATTGATAGCTTAGTACAAAATAAATAAATTTGCCAAGTTTGATCAAAATATATTCATAAACAAGCAAACTACAACATTTGACAATATTCTCCATAAGAATAACATGGGAATTTTGAATTTACAATTTTTTAAATTTTCTCCGTTACTAATAATCGAACAAAAATACTTTTATATACTAAATTATTTGTTTTTTTAAGCTCTTTAAAAAGGTCTAAAGAGAAATTGGGAAATTTTGTGTTTTGAGGGTCAAAAGTGAGAAAAACCAATTTTTACCCCATAAAACCCCCCGTAAAGCCCCGTTCCCATGGTCCAATCGTGCTGGTTCGCGAACTCATTCAAGTTTATCCCGCTTTACACCTTTAAACCAAATTTCATCAAAATCGGACAAAAATTACTCAAGTTATCGCGTTCACGGACGTATATATATATATATATATATATATATAAATCTATATATATATATACATATATAAAATTTGAACGAACAGTGTTTTTGGCCTCTGGGGACATCAAAATGAAAAAGTAAATCGGTCTCGGGCCTAGGTCTTACCGTGCCACCTACGGTAATAGCTACTTCCCTATAGGGAAATTCGCTAAAAGGTAATACGGTTCTTTTAATACTCTTATCAAATATTGGTAAATAAATATACTACTTTTATTTTGAGAAACTCTTAGGGAACACAAATAGATTTATTATTTGTATAGATACATCATATTTATTTCAAAATCGTAGTTAAAGTAACCATATGTTCAAAGTCCAAAACAATTCATTTAACTTTGATCTTCAATAATAAATTTTAAATAGGTAATAGTTCTTATAGAAATTATTTACCCATTTGATAGGAATTTAATTTACTTTAAGAATGCCATCGGTGAATAACACAGGTGTTTTAAGCACACGTTGATTTTTTTCTCTATCTCTCCCATGTTATAGCTGCTGCTTTTTGCCACTCTATGGCTCCGCGTGCCCCTCTAGTGTTCTGCTAAAGCTGGCTTCACCGCAACATGTATATTGCTATTTGTGTGCCCTCTCCCAGGTAAAACAAACTCAATATTACTGTAACACGAAACTAAAAAGTACTTTTTGATCTGAATGAATATTTTTGCCCAGAACCTCAAAATGGAGTATTTTGGGAGCAGCTCAAAACTTTTAAATAAAAGCCCCATCAAGTGACACGTAGACCATAAGTGAAAAAGAGTATCAGCGAAAACTAACAGGTCCCTATCTCAACCCACTGGCAGAATATTTTAGTTTTCATCAACCTCCGAGACCCCACTTAAAAATGTCAATATCCCCTACCAACAATAATCAAGTTATACCAGGAAAGCTAATTTGTTAACACCTCCATAAAAATTAAAAGTGTACGTAAAAGTGTATGTAAAAGTGTAGTTGGTATTAAAATTAATTTTGCCAGGAAACCAAAAATGTTAAATGTAAAATCTGAAAACTAAAAACCCCCTGCCATTTTGTAATGGGTTGAGATAGGGACCTCTAGTTTTTTCAGATGTTGTTTTTAACAGATGGCCATTAAAATGAGATGCTGCAACTCTTATGGAGCTTCAATTTAAAATTTTCTTAGCTACCTCCATAATACCTGCTTAAGTGTAATACTGACTAAAAAGTACTTTTGCCTCATATTTTATGCATGCAGTGCGGGCTAAAGTAGCTCTTTTACTCCCTAGGTAGTAAAAAGCCTTATTATTCCCTAGGGAGTAAAATACAGCTGTTGTAAATTTTGATTGTAAGCAATCACATGTATCAAAATTATGTATCAAATTATTTAATCGGTCGTAGCATATGTTGCATTCTTGTCAATAGTTTGACATATCGATATATGAACACAAACACAACAGTAAAAGGCAAAATGATTGAATCAATTGTTTAAACAGCTGCTTGTTTGCATTAGCAAAATTGAAAACAAGTTGAAAGTCTTTTTTAGAGGTTATCTTTACTTGAAAATTATTTTTGTTTATCTAACTTAGTTCGTTAAATAATGTTGCAATATGACAAAAAATATAGTTCATCACACTGCCAAAAAGTGTATTTTCATCCTCACTCATTTTCCAAAACTTGAGCTCAGGCCGACAAGAGTCACTTTACGCCCTAGTAATGAAAATATACTATTAAGTTTCTTGTCACGGTAATACTATGAATAGTTTTACTATGAATAGCTGGTACAGTAAAACCCATTAAAACACCAATAGGGGATATTGATGTATATTTTTAGGTGGGGTCTCTCAGGGTGATGAAAAAAAATGGCTGCCATTCTGCAATCAGTTGAGATACAGACCTCTAGTTTTCGACGATATTCTTTTTAACTGATGGCCTTTAAAATTATGTTTCACTTAGAGGCTTACATGTAAAACTTTTGAGCCTCCCCCATAATACCCCATTTTGGGGTTCCGGACAAAATTGAGATACCAACAAAAAAGTATATCTATATAGGTGTGCTGAGTTGGGTTTTCCTGATGTGCTGAATGGACATTAAACTTTGTTATTTCCTATCAATATATACCTAGGGTTTGTTCCAAATTGCACATCAGTTGTAGTAGCTCTGAGGACCTAGCCTTTAGGTATACTATAGAGGATCTAGTCTATAGTATTGTAGATGTTTATGCCATGTAAAGGGTGATCCAATATTAGTTTCCTATTTTGGCAACAATGACAATTGAACATCTGCTC